GCTCTCCCCTCTCATTCCCTCACTCTGGGCGATAGCACTTTTTAATTAAGGTGGGGGAGGAGGGGGGGGGGGGGGGGGGGAGGACAGTGGGAATGATGGAGGGATTTATCAGCGCCTCTCCTCACACTCGCAGCTTATCCCAGAGCGTGACGCCATACTTCCACCGATAAGGGGGCTAATAGAAATGAGAGTGCTAGTATTCATACACACACACACACACACACACACACACACACACACACACACACACACACACACAGGACAGAGCTAGGACATGCAGACATGTGCACATTTCCCCAGATAATGAAGATAAAGGCGCTCACAGTGGGTACAAAGACGTCTCTGGGTTTGTCTTGATCCAGAGTGACTACAGACTGCACACACACACACACACACACACACACACACACATGCAGAGAGTGACTTTTATTCAACATTTATTCCATTTTCACAATCTGCATAAACAATTTCCTTGTTTGCATGCAGATGCACACACACACATATCTGAAGTTATTTTGCAGCATTTCTCTTTCCTCCACATGAAAAACAAAGCAGATGTGACCGTCTGTCAGGAGTTTGTGACTGATTTTCAATTATCAATAATATTTTTTAACCATTTTTTTTCCAAGGAAGAGTCCAACATTTGCTGGTTTGGGCTTCTTAAATGTCTTTTCTATGTCGTTTTTGATTTTGTTTTTATGAAGGCTCTCTGAAGAAGGCGTTAATGAGACATCACTTCAGTCTCTGAGGAGAGCGTTCCACATCTTATCGACTATAATCTCGTCATCTCAAAGACTCAAATATTTATTGGATCACTTTAGGAGATAATAACAAGATTCATCCTAAAGCAGATAATCCTGAGCCCAGTTCTAGTAAAGTCACATCTGCAGACTCGAGTCGTACCTCCTTTACTGTCATTGACAGAATCTGCTGCATCTCTTTTCCTTTTTCTTTATCAAAAGAAACCTGAACCCTTTTATTGATTAGAATAGAAGCCAACTATTCGTACATGAAGCTTTCCAAGTTAATATTCAAGCACAAGTGTCCAATATCCATTTTTCTTTGTCATTATTTAAAGTCAATGAAGAGTCTTACATTTTGAGACTGCAGCTAGACGAATGAAGTCATTTGAGGATGTGACTTTGAGCTTGCTATGCCAGTTTCTCGACATTTTTTGGACAATTTGTACACTAAAGGATTGATCTATTATCTGTTCAGATGATTGTGAGATTAATTCCTAATGAAAGTATCCAACATGTGCTGGTTTCGTCTTCAAATTGTTTGAATATTCAATGATTTTTGTGTCATTTTTCACAATTGCAAACTTCAAAGATTTATCAGTTAAAATGAAAATAATCCTCAGATGCAGCAAATGATGTGTGTGGTAGCCTCAAACAATCCCTCTCAATCTTATACACATAGTAGTGACATTGTTCATGTAATGGGGATCTGGTGCCTGCATGGTAGAAACAAGTGTGTGTGTGTGTGTGTGTGTGTGTGTGTGTGTGTGTGTGTGTGTTTGCAGACAGATTGGCTCCTCTACTAGAAGAGACAGTGTAATTCATGAAGCTCGCTGCCAGCTCCTGAGTGCTTCCCCCGCGTTACTCATCCAACAGCACAACTTCTGTCTCACCAAAACATGCCTGCGACACACACACAAACAACACACACACACACAAACAACACACACACACACACACACACACACACACTTCCATACATGCATAATTTGGTTCGTGCTAATTGCCACGTACAGTCAAGCAATTAGGAAAAAATCCACACGTCGTTTAATCGTGATGCATCACTGCTGCATCCTCCATCATTCTTTAGTTTTTCTTTGCAGCAAACAAACACCAACACACACAACCATATTGCACAACACATAGTTCAAGTGCAAGTGTGTGTGTGTGTGTGTGTGTGTGTGTGTGTGTGTGTGAGCTGACTGGCAGTGGGGTCAGTGTCTACAGGGAGCTGCTGGATAGAAGGCATGTCTTAATGAGACTCGTCAGACTCTGCACACACACACACACACACACACACACACACACACACACACACACACACACACACACACACACACACACACACACACACACACACACACACACAGTCTCTTGGCTCCATCTCTTCTCCTCTCTCTGTATTCCTCCCTCTGCATCACCTTTTACGTCCCCTCCCTCCTTCTTTCTCCCTCTCCTCCTGTCACTCGTCCTCTCTCTCCCTGGCACCGCCAAGCCCATCGTCCATCAACCTCGCCCATACTCCCCTCCCTCACCTGCCTCACCCCTCCGATCAATCCTCCCCTCTTCTGTCTCCATCCGTCTTTTATCCATCACCTCGCTCTCCTCTCTTTCATCCTCTCCTTCGCCTCTCCCTGCTGTAATCCTTCTCTCCCCCCCTCCACTTCCCATCCCTTCCTGCTCCTCCCTTCCCTTCACCTCCACGCCCCCCCCCCCCCCTCTTCATCCTCCTTGAAGGCCGTTGAATGGGCAGCTCAGGGGAAAAAAAGTGTCGAGGCTGCAGGATTCTCCCCAAACGACTTAATCTGGGCTCTGCGTGCTGATAGCCTCCTGCACGCCGCGCCTTCCATCGGCCTCGACAATGACTGTCTGTCTGCACACTCGCAGCAGATAAAGAGACGTGTGTGAGTGTGTGTGTGGGTGTGTGTGTGTGTGTGTGTGTGTGTGTGTGTGTGTGGCATCTGTCTGTTTCTGTCATTCTTTTCCATCCCTGCTATCTGTTTGAAAATTTTCTGTTAGCCTATTTTTCTGCACCTCGTGATTGACAGGCCCTCTGTGTGTGTTTGGATGTGTGTGTGTGTGTGTGTGTATGTGGGTGGCAGCGGTTGTGTGTGTGCATGCACAAAGGCGCGGGAGTGTGTTTTAAGCGTGCATCCCTGTAGGTGCGAGAGCTTTCACATAGCTGAACTTGTGTTACTTTGTGTCTTTGTGTAGCAGCTTCTATGTATCTGTGTGTGTTTGCTCTTTGCATGTGGGCGTCTGGATCATGCACTCTCATGAAGCAGCTGTGTGTGTGTGTGTGTGTGTGTGTGTGTGTGTGTGTGCGTGTGCGTGGGCTCTGCTCCTCTCAAGTAACAAAGTAAGGAAGCCATCGCTCCTCTATCAAATGTCAGAGAATCTTAAGTGTGCCTTTTAAGCACAATAGGCGGTGGAAATGTCATCACTTGAAGGGTCTATTACACTTCAAGCCTTTGGTGCTGTTTTCTTTTTTTTCCCCCCCCCGCTTCCTTTATTGATGCTTTCACAGGAATTTGAAAGAAACAGACGAGAATATCAACCCATTTATGTCAGGAATAGAATCAGTCAGCGGGTGAGTGGTTAAGTCCGACTCCTGATGTTTTTAAATGTTTGGAAATTTGGCTTGAAATAGAAAAAAATGAATTCATGATATCCAAACAGAGAATCTCTTCAAGTGAAAATAAACGCTCATATTTCATGTGTAGTAGTGAAGTACTGCACATCGTAGTATCATGCAGGCCTCGTTTTGAGTCTGCACCAACATATGAACATATGAATTACATAAATGATCTATAAAGGCCAAAATGAAACTCCTGCAGTCAGAAGCAGACAAAGCAGCAGAAACAAAACTCGTTGCTACCGCTGGAGATAAACAGCTTTACTGCTGATGTCTGACCATCCTTACCATCATATCCCAGAATGATTTATGCACTAAATACATTATCAAAACTACGGCCAATTCAAACCCAGTATCAAGACAGTTTACAGGCTCTTGATCAACTTGTACTTTTTAAGAAGCTTATTTTTGCTCTTTAAAAAACCTGTGAGTTACTGCGTGCTATGAAAAGCTGTTCCTGGGTTTGCAGTGGATTTAAAGTCAGTAAATCATCAGTGTGATCCAGCATCTCTCTCTCTCTCTCTCTCTCTCTCTCTCTTATATGTTGTTTTCTCTATGGTGGCTACAATATTAAGAAAGCATTTGTTTGTCTTTAGAGTTCAATATCTCCAAGTTCATTACATTTACAGACCCCCTGGTACACACACACATACACACACACACACACACACACACACACACACACACAGGTACAGAGGTAGGTATCTAAGCCACCCCCTGCTGTTGTCATGGAGAACACGTTTCGCTCTCGCCTCTGTAAAGAATAATAATGCTGCAAATCTATTGCAATGCAACAGTAATAAAAGAACCAGTGTGTGTGTGTGTGTGTGTGTGTGTGTGTGTGTGCATGCAGAATAGCCATAAACATGTTCCCTTTGTATGTGCGTGTGAGTTTATGTGTTAGGCGTGTTTATGGGAGATAACAGGGAGTGCGGGAGACGTCTTAGCCGTCAGGCCGTCAGCAGAGAATGAAGCCTTTTGTTGCAGCGTTAGCTTCTCATTACAGAGCCGGGGTGACCCCCCCAGGACCCCCCGCTAGACAGCCCGTCTGTGTGTCACTTCCTGCCCGAGCCTGCCGAGCGACGCCATTGGCAGGCTATTGTTCCTGGGAGAGCGCGATAGGATCGGGGAATGTGTCCTAATGTTTGCAGATTGGCTTGCCGGAGCAACAATTACACTTTGAGAACGCTCCCAACGGGGGAACGAGGGAGATAAGAGCCTGGGTGTGGAAGAGGGTGAAAGAGCCCCAGTGTGTGTGTGTGTGTGCATGCGTGCGCAGCAGTGATGATCTTTTATTGTTTTAATAGCTTACCCATGTGTTCCCGCTCTCATTGACGATCCACAATGGGGAAGTTTTTCCTATTTCCTACGAACTGACGGCCTAAATTGCTTTCTTTGTTTTACTGTTCATTCGTGTCTCGTCACATCTTCACACACAGACGCCAGGAGATTGATGGGCGTCCTCTGAGTCACTAATGTAGGGAGTTAGCTGTAGGTGTTTATGGCTTTTAAACAAATTAAAGATTCTAACGCTGATGTAGAAATGCATCGCAAGAGTCCTTACAGTACACAAAGCCTGATTTCACTTTGATACTCACTGCATTGTGTTCTTCTGGTCTCTGCAGCACAGTGTGGAGGCGTCTACGATGCCAGCGAGGCCGGTTACATCACCTCCCCGGGTTACCCCATGGAGTACCCGCCTCACCAGAACTGCCACTGGGTCATCACGGCGCCGGAGCCGTCGCAGCGCATCGTCCTCAACTTCAACCCGCACTTTGAGATCGAGAGGCTGGACTGCAAGTAAGTTCAAGAAGGCATTCTCTAATCGTGACCTCTAGAAATCACTCGTCCTCTCTCTCTCCGAGGCGACCCATACACGTACGTAATAGAGGTAACCGGGCTGGAGCCCAGTTGGGCTTGGAGCGCGGTCGTGGTTATGTACGATACGTTATGTAGGCAACTGGGCCTAGTGTCAGCTTTGCAAAAGATTCTCTAATATTAAGTTTTTTTTTGCTTCTCAGACTCCTGTTTTTTTTTTTTTTTTTTCACCAGCAGCTGAACGAGAGTCTTTAATGAGACCGTATGTTATCACAAGAGTCTCAGGATTCAAACTGAGGATTGAGTCAGAGGCCTGAGTTTTGTATGTGAGTGGATTCAAGTCATGATTCAGGAGCACAGCACCTGTTTCCTCGGAGAGACGTGTGTTTCAGTGTGTTTAGAACCTGATGATGATGATAAAACATCATTCATGAGCGTCATTAACACCTATCTGACATCATCTGTTAATCAAATGTCAAGCAACATTTCAAAGATATGCAGAGAGAGAGAGAGAGAGAGAGAGAGAGAGAGAGAGAGAGAGAGAGCGAGAGCGAGAGCGAGAGCGAGAGAGAGAGAGAGAGAGAGAGAGAGAGAGAGAGAGAGAGAGAGTGGTAAAATAAGAGAATAAGATGAAAGAGAGGATTTGTGATGCAGGGGGAAAACTGAGGGACAGTAAACACAGAAAGAGAAGAAGAAGAGAATGGGGCCCAGCTGTTGGTCTGGATATGACCGAGATGGTCTGTTTCCTTCCTCCGACACATGAATAATCCAAATCATATGTTGTTCTATTGTGTGTCACCTCAGAGGAGGGAGGGAGAGTCATAGTCCGCTCTGTTGAATCCACTTTGAAACAACTGAGTCAGAGGGAATTTCATGCGAAGATTTTCATCTTTCTTCTTCTCTTCCGAACAGAGATGTAGCTTTGAGCTAACACCATGTATGAAATGTGCAATGCCATGTTCAATAGATCCCCGATGAGCCCCCTTTCACACATGCACTGCACACCTGAATATTTGCAGACGTCGTCCAGCCTGGGATGCATGTGTGAACGGAAAGATCCTGAAAATATCACAGCACGACCGTCATCAAAAGCCCCCCCGATGAAAACGACCTCTGAGTTGTAGTTCAAGTCTTAAACTGAGCACAGACTGTGTTTATGAGTGCTTTCTTTCCACTCTCATCGTCTCTAGTGCCCGTGTAATTAAGAACTAATAATCCTTGATTTGTATTTATTGCATTGTTCTGTGACAAAACATTTCATGTGGCCAGGATGGAGATTTAACTTTCACGCAGACATCCATGGCGGCGTTTTTGTGAAGGCCTTTTTGTGGTGATTGTCGGCTCTATTCAGACGCTCGCGTCGCGTCGCAGCGAACTGTAAACATTATTTTTGATGCCTCGGCTTCGTGCCTCCAGGTTTCTGTCAAAGGCAAAACGTTGCATAATTATCTGGCTGGCAGAACGTCTCTCACTACTTTAACACCGGCGTCGACACTACTGTAAGACTGCAGCGGGGAAGTCCAGTGTGCTGCAGAGAGCAGCGGCTCAGCTGTTGATAAGCAGTGTGTCGAGCAGTTTCTCACAGCCCGGGGCGAGCAGGGCAGCAGAAGGAGGAGGAGGAGGAGGAGGACACAGAAAGGCCTCCTCTTCTTCTCCTCTCTGCAGACACTTTTACAAGGAAAGGGGGTTATTCTTCTTCTCTTTTTTTCGTTTTACACCCGCCTGGAGGGACTGAGGTCTTGGCCTGCCCTCTAACACACACTCCCACTCACTCTCCCCTTCACTCTGCATGTGAGTGTGTACGTGTGTGTGTGTGTGTGTGAGTGTGTGTGTGTGTGAGTGTGTGTGAGCGTGGGAGGGAAAAAAAAGTCGTCTACATGTGAGTAACTCTGTAACCATGAGAGTTAGCTTGTACGAGTAGCTCATCTCTCCCTGAGATAACCCCGTTTTAAAGGCCCATTAGAGCAAGAGGGGATCATGCCAACATTTATTTATGCATAACCTCCAGCACTAATGTGTTACCCTTCTGGATGCATTTCCCCTTTTGGGCGCCGAAAAAGCAGCAGAAATAAGTGGGGAAAGCCAAAGTACAGCTCGATATTCCTCCTCTCTCCACTCCATGTTATGCTTTTTACTCCAGATTGATCCGAGCCCTGTAGCGCTGTAACGGGTAGCTTCCTTTTTCCTTGCTTTTTTTTTTTTTTTGCCTGGATGATTAGGTACGGCAGTGTGAGCGAGCAGAGAGGAGATTTTTGCATGTTTTCACGCTGCTCTGCGATGGTGAGGATGAAGGGGAAGCCGAAGGAGGGGGGGGGGGGTGTGCATGCAGAGGTGGAGGGCTCGGCATCTCGGTCAAGGCTGAAAAATCTGCGTGACAGCTTGGACTACAGAGTCAGGAGGAGAGACGCAGAGTGTGTGCTACCTGACACGTAAAACGATGTCGTCCAGACTGCTGCTGGACAGGAGGTTAAAAAAAAAACACACAGGTAAATTCAGTGTGAATCCAATGCTTACTTCCTCTGACCACTAGGGGGCTCTCATCAGACATCATACCCCCCCCTCAGGGCCTTTATAAAACAGAGAAAAGTGCTCAGTCAGCCCCAACAACGAGGTCTGATCTTCTAATATCCCCGTCCAGCTGGAGATTTTCCCTGCGAGGGTTCAAACAGTCAGCACTCGGACGATGCGGCGTGGCCAAACGGCGGCTGTGCTGCAGCAATCAAATCTGCAGGCGGGCGCTGCGTGTCTGAGGTGGCACTTTAATTCAGGATTTCATTTCAAAGGGGGGGAGCCCGGCCGCGTGCCAAATAGCTCTTACCTCCAGGTTGCCAGCCGATTGATGCGGAGTAAATGTAATAAAGGCTAGATGAAATATCAGGCCCATATCTCTAATGCAATCTGCCATCAGAGAGCCTCAGGAAGATACCTAGTGATACACCAAGAGGAGGAGGAGGAGGAAGAGGAGGAAGAGGAGGAAGAGGGAGAGGAGGAGGAAGAGGGAGAGGAGGAGGAGGAAGAGGAGAGGAGGAAGAGAGAGGAGGAGAGAGGAGGAGGAAGAGGAGAGGAGAGGAAGAGAGGAGAAGAGGAAGAGAGGAGAGGAAGAGGAGAGGAGGAGGAGAGGAAGAGGAGGAGAGAGGAGGAGAGGAGAGAAGAGGAGGGAGAGGAGGAAGAAGAAGAGGAGGAGGAGGAGGAAGAAGAGGATGGAGAGGAGGAGAGTCTTCCTGCCTCTTTCTCTTCTTCTCTCTTTCTCCTCTTTCTTCATCCTCCCTTTGCTTCCTTCACTCGCTCGCCCAAGGAGGAGGCGTTTTATTTTTAACACACTTGAATTAAACATTAAAACACACACGCCATGAACCTGTATTCATTCAGAGATCCATCTCTCCCACCTTCCTGCTTCTTACTTCCTCACTTTGTATTCGGTTATTTGTTATTGAACGCAGCCCGAGGTGGGAAGATTTAAGGATATAACTTTATAACTCACACATCATAAATCCCCACGCTGTGTGTGACACACCTGATCACAGTGAGAGATGAAGCCCAGAGTGTGTGTGTGTGTGTGTGTGTGTGTGTGTGTGTGTGTGTGTGTGTGTGTGTGTGTGTGTGTGTGTGTGTGTGTGTGTGTGTGTGTGTGTGTGTGTGCATGATATCAGCCTCTTACGTCCACCCAGAGGGAGAGCAGGGAGGTGTGAGATCAATGTCTGTATTCAGCTTGTAATGGGAAATCGATAGATGATCAGCAGTGGCCGGAGGGAGAGAGGAGGCGATGAAGAGGAGGAGGAGGAGGTGATGGTTGAGGATGAAAGGAGAGCAGCCAGAGGTCACGACTAAAGGGAGCTGTTCAGGTTCTGATGTGTCAATATCTGGCTCATGGGCACATTTAGGGCCAGATCACGGCCATCAGCGTGCAGCGGTCACCACCATTACTGAGGTCAGCGCTTTAATGACGATTCAATGAGTAACAGGTGTAATAATAATGTTAAGAAAAAGCTGCGACTTAAACAACGTCTGGTGCGCTCTGTGATCGATTGCTCCTGCCTGTTAGCATGAGCAGAAGATGTAGAGAAGACAGCGAGGTAAAAGGAGAAGATTGATGATAGTGTTTGACAGAAACAGTTAAAGGGGCGGTTTATATTCTTCAGTTATTCAGTGATGTGTGGTTGATGATTATCTTGGATTATATGAATCACTGCATCATGACGATATCGTTATCGTGTGTTAAGCATCGAGAGTTTCACTCGGATTCTCACCCATCATGTGATTTATTGTATCTAACATGACTTAAAATACGGGTAATAAGACGTCGATTAAAAACAGAAACTCCCCACTAAAGCAAACCTGACCCGTGAGCACAGCGTCTCATCAGACATCATGAAGGAGCTGATTGGTCGATTAAAAGGCATCCAGCAGGGGCAGCAGCTACAGTCTGATGTTTCCGATCGATGAGGCACTAGAAGGTCCGGAGGCCGAGCCCAGACTGCCTGTGGTCAGCGGTTTGGCCCCCCCCGTCATCTGTAAGTATACGAGTGTGTGATGGACGGCCGAGGAGGCAGGAGGAGGAGGAAGAGGAGGAGTGCTGTTTGTTTTTTGGGCTAGATTGAAGATGGCAGGCTCTACAGATCTGCAGGGATTTCACTCACAGCATCTAGTTAATATTTCAGAGGCACTTATGGTTTATTAGAGTCCCCATCGAGGGCGTGTGTGTGTGTGTGTACTGTACGCCCTCCTACCCTTACTTACTTTCTGCTTCTGTACATCACGAGGAGAGCGAGACGACAGGCAGTTGTTCTTTGTTTACAGCTCCGGGATCCCGAGGCTTTCTGAGCTCTGAGACTCAGAGGGGTAAAAAAAAAAAAAAACTCATGTGGAGCGTCGGCCTCGAGTGTGTGAGAGCCGCCAAGTTTGGTTTGCTGATGTTCTCCGGCAGCTGTTGCTCTTTTTATCCGCACAAACACAATAAATCAGACGACCATGGCGCACCCGCA